GACTGACGAGATTTTGTCGCTGATGGCTGAGCGCGGTCTGTGTAAGAATAGGGATCAAACCAAGTACAAAGAAATTGATAAACAAATCAGAAGGGAAATACGCAGAGCTAAGGAGCAGTGGATGGAAGATAAGTGCACTGAGATCGAGACAATGGAAGAAAAGCATGACCACTATACACAAGTTTCGTAAAAGAAACAACAGGACGTACAAAACATTACAAGTCAAATAGTATAAAAGATGACAGTAACGAACTCATAACTGACATTAGCAGCCTACTGAACCACTGGAAAGAATACACCGAACAACTATTCCGCGAAAATGAACAGAGAATCTTTACGGATAATTGCGCTGGCGAAACCGCACCCAAAATACTAAAGTCAGAAATCATAAAGGCCATTAAACAGGGAAAACAGGGAAAAGCAGCAGGACCAGATGAGATTTATATAGAAATAATAAAACTGCTGGACGAGGAAAACATTGAAGTCTTGGTGCAAATGTTCAACAACATATATGAGTCGAGTCAAATACCACAGGACTGGCTACACTCGGTGTTCGTACCCTTACCAAAAAAACCCAATGCTGACCACTGTGACCAGTTTAGAATGATCAGCTTAATGAGCCAGGTCTTAAAGCTCTTCACAAAAATAATTCACGGAAGAATATACAACAGATGTGAAAAGGAGATCAGCACCACACAGTTTGGGTTTAGACAGGGATTTGGCACAAGGGAAGCATTATTCAGTCTGAGTGTTCTTCTTCAGAAGTGTCGAGACCAGCGAAAGAATGTATGCGTGTGCTTCATAGATTACCAGAAAGCCTTCGACTGTGTCAACCACTCGGAACTTATAAAACTTCTAGAGGAGAAAATGGTGGACAGGAACGACCTGGCATTCATAAAAAAGCTTTACTTAAACCAGATAGCATCGGTGAAGGTAGGAAATGAAACCACCTCTAGTTTTCCAATAGAGAAGGGTGTAAGACAGGGTTGTGTCTTGTCGCCTCTCCTCTTTAATTTGTATTCGGAGGCCATTTTTGACAGTGCCTTAAAGGACACAGACGACGGCATAAAGATCAACGGCTACGCGGTTAATAACCTTCGCTACGCTGATGATACAGTCATCATTGCTGATAACCAAGAAGCATTACAGCGACTTATCGATAGAGTATCCGCGGAAGGCGAGCGACTCGGTTTAAAAATCAACATCGATAAGACGAAGACTATGATGGTTGGCAGAACCCCGATCGACCGTCTAAACATCTCGGTGAACGGCCAACAGATTCAACAGGTCCCGAAGTTTAAGTACCTCGGCAGCTGGATTACCGAAGACCTAGATCCAGACACGGAGATTCGAAGCAGGATCGAACAAGCCCGAGCAATATTCACGAACATGAGAACTCTGTTGAGTAACCAAAGCCTGAGTCTACGCCTACGTTACCGTTTTGTAAAAGGCTACGTATACTCAGTACTACTATATGGCGTGGAGACCTGGACCCTCAAGGCAAAAACTATGAACCGACTAGAGGCCTTTGAGATGTGGATATTTCGAAGATTGCTCAGGATTCCTTGGACTGATCGCGTGAGAAATGACGAAGTTCTGCGACGTATGGGAACGGAAAGAATGTTGCTTCAAATAGTTAAAAAACGGAAAACAGCTTACTTGGGCCACATATTTAGAAACACCAAATATCAATTCCTGAAACTGATTATGGAGGGGAAGATTGAAGGAAAACGTGGCATCGGAAGAAAGAAGTATTCTTGGCTTAAGAACATCACAGACTGGACTGGTCTCGATGCCCATTCACTCTTTAGAGTCGCCCAAGATCGAGACGAATTTGCCAGAATTGTCGCCAACATTCATTAAATGAATACGGCACACTAAGAAGAAGAAGAAGGACCCCTTATTGATGATATGCCCTTAATGGAACTCGAAAACATATTTTTCCAGCAAGACGACGCACCGCCTCTGAACGCTGAAGTTATCAGCAAATTTTGGCAACCAATTTCAAGAATAATTGAATAGCTAACCAAGATCCCAGCCGTTGGCCGTCGAGGCCGCCTGACTTAGTGCCCCATGGATCTAATCCTATGGATATATTTGCGGAAAAATAAAGGTTCCTTATTCTTCCGTATAATCTAGACAAGAATTGCCCGGTCTGTCCAAGAAAAACTGCCCGGTCTGTCCATAACAGAAGACAGTCAATATGTCGAACACCTGTAGCAAAATCTCATGTCTTGGTTTGCTATTTATTTTTATTGTTATTAGATATAGTTTAAATGTGTTGATGTTGGTTAAATATATTTTCAATTGTTATAAAATTCTGCATCTCTCATAGCAAATATTATTTTCGCTTTAAGTGATGCTCACAGCTAGAATTTTTTTGCATTACAGCCGGGCTTGTGCCGTTCAAAGCCTACTTATTTAAAGCGGGCGAATTTTTATATACTCTACATCTCGAAGAGGAATCGAGCAAAATACCAAGTGTGTTATATTTTTGGAAACGTAATTTTAAATTCTTTTCAATAAATTAAGAATATACAGGGTGTCCCATATAAAAAAATCAAATTTTCTGTTGATAATTCTTAAATTATTAATTTTAAAAAAATTATACTTAAACCATTAAATTCGACGTAAAAAGGTGCTTGGGAAATGTTTTCATAAAAATACAAAATTTTCCATAGCAAAAAAGTTACAGCGTTTTTTTAAAAATGCATATTTTTGAAAAACACCCCGTAACTCCGAAACGGTAATAGATATCGATATGCGGTTTTCACCATCATGTTTTTGACAAAAATTGAGCTCCAGGCATCGATATCAGTTTTTGTCTATCTACTATAGAAAAGGGTGTTTCCATTTAAAAGCGTCGAATTTGACCCACCCAGTACATTTTTCGACCAAGGCGTCAACCCCTCCTTTTGTCTCGTTATAAAATTCGATAATTTCTGCTTTTTGGTTTCACTGTTGACGCTGCTACTGTAATGCATTGAGGATATCAAAAGAACTGCTTTCCGTGGTTTCGGAACATAGGAAACTAATGTAACTCTATCTCCAAATCCAAATAGAGAAGAGTCTGCAGGTCTAGTTTTAGACGGCAAAAAGGCAGTCACTAATTTGAACTTGCTGGTTTTCGGATAAATATTCCCCATTTCTCTTTGGCATTGTTTCGTTGGTTATTGTAATACCATCATTCAGGAATTCTGTTTCTAAAGCTACGTTATCCTTTTCTACAACTACTTCGCATTTACTCGCCATCTCTTGAATTATTTCTTCCTCCCATTGGCTTTCCATGACAAATCCGTCTTCGAACTCAATTATCACATTATTTGCAGTAAGTTGTGGTAATGTTTGTTGTTTGCGTGTGTCTTTACATATTTTGTGCCAAATCAGATACAAATTTTTATCATCACTTTCTCCTGTCCAATTTTCAGATCCCATATGATGCTTAAATTTGTTCAGGGTTCCAGGATTAATATAGGATTCTAGAAATTGAAG